CTAATGGATTGGCACTATTACTAAAAGTGTTGGACTTTAGGATTCTTTAGTAGATATTGATAGAATAGCATCTATATCTAATGGATTGGCACTATTACTAAAAGTGTTGGACTTTTAGGATTCTTTAATAGATATTGATAGAATAGCATCTATATCTAATGGGTTGGCACTATTACTAAAACACACCATCCAGGCTAACATGTACATCTATGAGTGCAATCATTGTGTTCTTTGACCATGGCACTGTGGCTACAGCCATCTGTTCTTTTAGTCTGGCTCTTTAAATAAAAGAGTCATCAGTATCTGCTTTTCTTTTAGGTATGTGGTAAGAATTTACTCAGGTTTAGCTGCTTTGGATTTCTAGTAGGTGTTTGTGGTGAATTGGCTGTTGGCCTATCATCTTTAACTTTCTATAAGTCTACTATATAAAGACAAAAAGCCATCTATCTGTCACACTGGTATCTCACCTGTTGCAGTACTGATTGACATGCAACTTGCATGAAATGACGATGCATTCTGCCATGACAGGCAAGTATGTCTTTTTAAAATTCTTCCAGCCATATGTATATAAAACGGATGATGTGATACTTTGGGCATATACTTAGATTTGACGGTAGGTTGGTAGAGATCATGATTAGTAATAAAATTGAAACGGGTATACGCAAGTCTCACACTTGGTATTGTTAGTGCACAAAAATCATGATCATTGGCTGAAATTCCCCATTATGTTTGTTTATTTGTCAAGAAAATGCCCAAAGTCTTCAGCTCAGCAGGCTAACAAAGCCCCCCCCCCCAGTGGCACAGTGGTATGTCTGTGGACTTACAACGCTAGAAACCGGGATTCAATACTCGTGGTGGGCAGAGCACAGATAGCCCATTGTGTAACTTTGTGCTTAACTACAAACAAACAAGCTAACAAAGCCAAAATCAGGATGACAGTCCAAAGACAAGACCCCAAAGTTCGTAATAAAATTCACTGCCTTTACCATCACAATTATTAATTTGCAGGGTCATGCAGGTGACCAAGTAGGAATATGTCTTTTGAGAATCAGTCTTTTATGCTTATCAAAACAATTGTTCCACTGTGTACAAAAATTAATTTTGAAAAACATTACTAGTATGTTATTATTATTATTAGATAGAGGATGAATGTTAATCACACATTACGTTGACATTGAAGGTGAGTTTCCCATCATGAAACCAGGAACTAGTTACTCATGGGTGAGCTGTACAAACTTTAACACTACCTATGGAAATATGAGAGGTCATTTTACTATGAAGAACCTAAAAACAGGTTAGTGCAATTTTCATATTTTGGAAGATTTATAAAAAATGAAAAATAGTTAAAAGATAAAATTGAAAAAGCTGTTAAATAATATAAAAATGTATATGACTCAGATAATAATGACAAACATAAACACTAACAGAAACATATTAAGTCGATAATGTTCTGTTGAAATTTATTAACTCGAGTTTTATGTTTCCAGAAAGTATACAAAATATAAATCTTAAGAAACTCCTAAACTGCTATTTCTAAACATAAAGTATGAAAAAAATCAAAGATGTTATTTTGTAAAAAAATATTTGTGTGAAAAAATAACATCTTTGTATTATTACACTTAGATAAGCCTTAAAAATCAACATTGTCTTGAATTTAAAAGAAGTGTTCTCTAGATAACTTACACTCTTTGATAACATTACATGAATACAGTCACAAATCTTAATTGAATATGAAGTGTTGTTGTGTGTATTTTTACACTGATTGAATTACAAAATGAAAATAAACAGTTAATTACAGTGAAAATGTTTTAATCTGATTTTATATTTTGACAAATTTAAACATTTCGTAGGCTGATATGATGCTAACATTTTTCTATAAATGTAGTATTTTGAAATCTATATGCCTACTAATTTGTACAAGATTACTTCACCAGAAAGTTCAGTTTCAATACTATTTAGTGGTGCAAGTAAAGAGCAAAAACCCTAACTCAAAGATAACTTTTATGTTATATTTTTTATATTATATTTGTAAATAAGAAGTACTTAACATATATGCATGAACTTGCATTATTTTCAATATTGAAAATAGGAAAATATCTACTGAAATATGTATCCTTGTAGATTTAATTAAATTAAATAAAAAAAGGACTACACCATTGACCTCCATCATTCATTACTGTTTTAAAGAACTTGAATTCATCTACTGACAAAGTAGGATAACTTTACACTTATATTCTGAGTGAACTGTATTTCAATAGTTAATGTAACAAAATAACTTTTATGTAGGCAGACATTTGCTTAAATGTATGACAAAAGAGTGAAAAAAAGGTTATATTTAACTATTGTACATTTATTTAGCAAATGTTTGCAAAATTGAAACTTAATTGTACCCAAAAAGGAGACCATGTTTACCCTGAACATTATTTCATGAAGTTGATATTCTCTGTGATAAACATATATGTATATGAAATAAAAGAAAATAGGTGTAAATATTTAAAACAAATAATAGATTTTGTATATCATTACACTCACAAACAAAATATAACATGCTTAATTACAGTTTTCTAAGCTTAATTTGTTAATGCTTCATAAAAGAAAATAATGCTTAAAAAATGCAAAGATGTTTTATAGTTTACGTTATCTATTTTTTAGAAAACCCAGTTGACTAAATAAATCTTACAAGCAAGTTATTATTTCTAATTTTGTAAATATTGACTTGATAAAGCCTAAGAAAAATATTTCACTAGCTTTTTTTTACACAGTCTTTTTTGACTTTGATGTAAAACTAATAGTAGTTGCAACTACAAAGATAGAAAATGAGAAAATCTGGAAGTGTGAGGAACTTTCTGTTTGTTGAATTTAAAATTTGAGGTATTAATTTCAAAGTAAATCCCATTAAAACGATTATTGCATATTCTTTTTATAGTAAAAATGAATAATACTAATATGATTGAGAATAGTTTATGCTATCAGTTATTATTTTAGGGGTACATTTGTTTTGTAAGTTTTATACTTTCTAGGAGGTTTAGGAATGTGATCCATTGAGAATTTATTTTTCCCACAAGAGAAAGTATTTTAGAAGTTTTAAAATGTAGTTAGATAATCAATTAGATTTCAACAATGTTGTTGATCAAGGAGAGTGAGTGTTTATGAATTATTTGCTGTAAATACCTTAAAATATGCCTTAAAATTAAAATCCTTGCTTTTGTGTCTGCATGTAAAAGTAGTCATGAACTGAATTATCATAGCTTGAAGATGCCCCCACAGTAGCACAGTGGTATGGCTGTGGACTTACAATGCTAGAATCTGGGTTTCGATACCCGTGGTGGGCAGAGCACAGATAGCCCATTGTGTAGCTTTGTGCTAAACTTCAAACAAACAAACAAAAGCTTGAAGATAATAGAAAAATAGCATTGTTTTGTTTTCAATTCTTAACAATCCAACAGATGGCTAAGAAACCTCCGAGATCATACTATCAAATTACCAGAAGTTTGTGAGGTTTCTTTTCAATTTGATTAACCAAAAAAAAACTTATATTTCTAGAAACAGTAAATCAAGGATATTTATATTCTAAAAGTAACATTCATGTTACTTTTTTAGTTACAACATGTTACATGTTAGTAAGGTTATTTATAACTAGCAATAAGGCTGACATTAGTAAGTGATATGGAATATGGAAAATAATGCCTTACGCTAGTGAAAATGTGATCTGTAGATTGGTGGACTGTGTAACATTACACCACAATAAGACTGATAATAAACTTAACAAGGAGGCCTTTTGTTCAATATCAGAGTTCATTAGGTTGGCTGGACATGCAACACATAAACCCTGAGTCAAAATACTACTTAAGTCACTCACATATAAGCTATCATTTATTATGGTACATACTGCCTTATGTTTGTGAAGCATAACCTATAGATTGGTGATTTGTTGGACATTATAGCACAATAAAGCTGTTAATACTTTTTAAGCAATCTTTCTTTATTGGTCCTGTACAAGTTTCCAATAAAAAGAACATAATTGCAAGTGACTAGTCAAAATACTATTATATTCTTACTGGAAACCTCTATAGAGCCAGTAAAGAAACATTTGTTGAAAATTATTATCAGTCTTATTGTGACGTAACATTACACAAACCACTGATCAATAAATATCTTTCAGGGTTATATTAAATGCTCCTAAAAATTCTGTGTTAGTTTCTTTTATGACCAGCAATCTACTGGTTGATCTCACTTTTCTCTGTTAAAGTTATGGTACTACAAAAAAGCCCATTCCTTAGAAATACAAACTTTAAAGTTGATTACAAAAACCTGCCTTGTGTTCTAAAAATGACACAGGTTTCAATGAGCAGGTATAATTTTAAAGAAACTGTTCTCTTAAAAAAAATAAAGGAACTTTGGGTTTTGCTAGTTATGAAACCAAACACATTTTACCTTTACTTTACTGTAACTAGTCAATGGTGTGGAAAACCCACTGAAAATGTTAATGTTTTAGAGAATTGTAATTTATACACTAGCTGTTTGAAATGTTCTTGCAGTTGAAATTAATACTACATGATACTAAACATGTAAAAGTGGTATACAAGTCATCTGTTGTTTATGTTTGTGAAGGTGTCATCAGTTTCATATTTTGCCTTAACTTGACAATATTAATTATTGCAAAAGTTATGGAATTTCACAAATAAGTTATAACAAATTTTTTCTATACCACAATACTATGAAAAAAAAAGTTTTCCCAGTCATGGCAAGTATAGGAAAGCATGTACAGGTACACATGTTCTTTTACACTTACAGTGTTACAAAAAAAAAGGCTTAAAGTAGTTTTAGTGTATCTTTATATTTGTGATAAATGTAGAATACAGACAATTTAAAAAATTTTTAAATGTATTTTCAGAAAACATTAGCTACTGATCAGTAAATATCCTGAACTGGTGTTTTCTTAAAAAAAACATTACGTACTCAACATTTAACAAAATATTTATAATTGGTAAATAATTTGATGAAACTTTTAGGTATTGCTCTGTGTACACTTTACAGTGACATAAGCCTAGAATATGAGCACTAACTCAAAGAAAAAATAAGATTCTCATAATTAGTCCATCTTTATAGTAGTAGTAGGCCTTGGGACTTATAAGCATTACCATAAGTTCTTCTGGTTGAATGAGCCAAATGTGGATTTAAAAGGTGGAAGCTGTAAGAATTCAAATGCAATATCACTTAGTGTTATGTAACTTTTACTTTAGTGAAAGTGTGTAAGAAAAAAAGCAATTATTCTTACACTTATGGGAAAAATGGAACCTTACAATATCCAGAAACTGTTTGAGTTCAAGGTATTCTAAATGTGAGTGATTACGGTAATTCAAAAGTTTCCTTTAGTATAATTGAAGAACTATAATTATTTTTGAATTCTCTTTACAGGCTTAACAACAGATATCATATGTCCAACTTATCATATGAAGTGCTTCCCATATGTGACAGCCGAAGAACGTATAAGAGTTAAGTTAAAAAAAGAATAAATTTCAGATTGTACCCACTTATACAACTTTAAGTTAAACATTGAGTTGTTTAAATTAGGGAACCAAGTAAAAACTGAACTTTTCCTGAATCTCTGCTGTTGGTGACAAGAAAGCAATTTTCAGAATGAACTCCTCAGAATTGTTCTATTATTGATAACATGATGTATAACATATTTTTGCTTTGCACAACTCTCAATTAAAACATATATATATAACATAACACAAAAGAATTGTGGGCTTACAAAATGTTATTGCAGTGGTTCTCTCTCTCTCTTTTTTATTCAGTTCCACATCTTAAGGACTTAAGCATTTGTTTTAATTAAAAGTTTCATTGTGTACCATTAATATATATTAAACAATTAATATACTAAATAATGTTTTTGAAACATTATCCTTTTTCTTGGTTAGAAACTACAGATAATTGTAAAAGTTTGAGCAGTTGTTTTAAGATTTGTGGTGCTATGATAAAAATCTCCGATTATTTCAATATGCAGTTGGTTGATATCTTTGTGTAGGTTGGAAAAATTATGTTATCCAAAAGAAAAAGATTTATTTTCCTTGCTATTACATTATTAAAGTAATGTCACAATAGTTTTACATTATTTTATTTAATTAAAAAGAAAAGAATATCGTTCACAGAAATGCTTACATTAATAGAAGACCCATTAGAAAAATAGTCTTGAGACACTGGTAACATTGTGCATGTAGAGATGTTGTGAGTCAACTTCTGGTCTTTTATCTGCATACATTGTTTATGATCCATTTCAAAGTGCATGATTATTCTGATATTTGAATGTGGTTTATCATTTCTTTTAATGTGAGAACAACTGAGACCTTACATTATCCAGAAACTGTTTGTGACCACATTTCTTGAATTCAAGATATTTTACGTGTAAGTAGAGTTCTTTGAAAATGTTTCTTAATGTTATCATTAGAAAAGAGATTCTTTGATGTACTGAAATTTATTATGTTTCTTATTTAGTTTATAATGTTTCTAACTTCAGGTCAGTAGAAAGGTATTAGTTACAATAATAAGAGCAATAGGCTTAGCCCATGTTGATAAATTAGTCTAAGAGGCAAAAAAAACAACAAAAATTAACAGTTTAAATTTTGTAATATAAAACAAATTGTCCTTTTGGCACCTCTTTAAAAGAAAAAGTGATTTAATTTATTAATTGAATATTATAAAACAAAAGTAACAATGGCTGTCTACACAGTAATGACTTTGTGTCTTTTTATGTATCGTGTACAATTTTTGTAAAGTTTCGGACTTGTTTTTAAAAGCCTGGTCAAACTTGAAAATGTCCCTGTTTTATTATAAGTTAATTTTTTTGTTCATAGAGAGCAAAATGTTGTTGACACAAAAGAAAGTTGTTGTCTTAAACCTGAAATTATCAAAAATTTAATTAAGAAGTGCTGTTAATTACATATTATTGCTTGCACACGGTAATAAGTTTTGCAAGAGATTCAGAACGAGTTGAATAAACATGACTTAAGGGAAGAGTTAATGACAGAGTATAAACACAACAAAATCGTATGCTACATAAATAACAGTAGAATTCATTTACAAGGAAAATGTAAAATTCTTGTCAACCATGTTCAACTGAACTCTGAAGTGTATTTTCTGTGATGACAATGTTTAACTTGTATTCAAGCATATTTTACCACATTGAAAATTGTGTTGTAATGCCTTTAGTAATTTTTTGTATTTTTGTTTATGTAAATATAAGAGCTTCAGACAAACACTCAATTTTTCCCCTTTGGCTTCATGCAAAATGTTTGCCAAACATTTTTCTTAAACAGAGGGTACAAACGTAGTGTATGAGCACAAAAATAGTTATTAGTTAAGGAAAGTTTGTTTACTAATAAAGGTCCATTGGTATTCTCGTGTGTAGTGGTCTTAGTTATGAAAGACATGTTCACTTATAAAACCAACTGAAACATCATGTATTTATGGAGTTTCCTGTGTGTGTGTCCTTAGTTTTCAGATGATGTATCAGACTTCATGTTAAGAAAGACTAAACATGGTACAAAAATTAGGCAGGAAAAGTCCATAAAGAAAAAAAACGTGCTGTTATCATGTTAAATACACTGCCTAAATCTCCTTTAAAAGATAGAAAGGAAATGTTTTATGCCTCTAGAAATACAATAAAGAAATAACTGAGCACTTTATAGAAGTGCAGATGTTATGTCAGTTTGTACCTCAGCCAAGAGATTATTGAAGAAAGCTAAAAGTTTTGTACAATGAGATAAAAATAAGACATTAAGAAAAAAATTAATGAATTACTGTGCATAAAGGTATACACTGAAAAGTTGAAGTTTTAGACCAAAACATTAAGTCTTAATAAATATAATAAAAAGTAAATAACAGCATTTATACATAAGAAAGGTCAAGTATTTTGGGGAGACTGGCTGAACAATGCAATGATTGAACTTGAAGTGTTCATTTATAAATTAATCATATTTTAGTATATATTATCTATAGAAATGTTTTTGTAACTGATATAATCAGATCTCCCACTAAATTCTAGGTAGAAAATAGGATATATAAAGGACATATTATTTAAAAAAGTCAACAAAATATGAAAAACCTGTATATAGAAGTTCTTGTGATTATTAATGTTTGAATAGTTTGTTCTAGACCAAGTATGTGAAAAGATTGCAGATGAAATAATCTTTGAAATTACATGTAGTTCCAATAATAAACAAATTATAAGAATCAAGGAAACCTTAGCTATTAAGAAGTTGAAACCAAAGTTGAATAATAATTCATCAGCGATTGAAATCTCACTCGGTTATGTTTTCACATGGCAACTTTTACTTCTATTTACATTGGCACAGTAGAAGAGTGTTGGCAGAACACTAATAAAGAGACACATATTTGCAAACATATCCTCCCCCTCCAAAAATAGCTTTTATTAGTCATTTCTATGATGATTCTGGAGTCCATTTCTAATTGACATGATCTTGTTTATTAAGTGAGATACTTTAAGATTAAGCAATTTTTTCAGGACCTCTTGTAGCCTACCAAACGGTAATAGAGTAGAAAATAATTATGTTTCAAATATTAAGAAACCAGATTAATACATGTATTTATTTCTAATTCTACTAGTATTCACATGGTTAATAATATGTATTATCACTTTAAATGACTATCATGCAAAGCATTTCATTAGATGTTACCTAAAAGCAAGATACATTATCATCACTTTAGTGCAACCCATGTTAAGTATGTATGTTAATTTTGATTGCATAGAAATGATCAAAACGCATTACAAATAAAATTCCTAAGCAAAGGTAAGCAACAAAATCTTGTTTTCTCACCAGTAAAAGTCATACCTGTAATTGTTGCTTCACTTATGGGTGTACTTTGTCTTTCTGAAAATTACTTAGGTTTCTGTGTGATATTTTTCATCATTGCAATTTATTATATTCAAAGTTATCTCACTCTTTTACACATTCATCTTTTGATTATTGGATTTTTTCTAATTTCTTTGTGATATTGACAAAAGGATGTGACCGAACTCCCATCCTGAAAGTTTTTCTTCTGCAGATCTTCCTTAATGTGTTTTTCAGCCTGATTCATAATTTTTTCCTTCTTCTTTTACTCCTCCTCTTTCACCAGTACTGACTTCTCCCAAGGCCTGCTTTATTCCTGCAATCTTTCTTTATATAGAGAACTTGCATCCTGGACTGCCTTTAGCATACTTTTATTCATCTGCTCAACCTACTGATTGTGTGTTGACCTAGGCTGGTCTGCTCTTTGGAAACTGTGTTCTTATTGTCTAACAATGATCTCTCAACATATGCATCCATATAACACACTCAAGCAAGACTTGATGAACTTTTTTAGAATCTTATATCTGGACCCTGGGTAGCATGAAGTAGCAGAGATTCTCCTGTAATGGTCAGTGCAAACGTGCACATTCTCCTGTGTGTCTTCATCAGTGTAAGAGAAACAGTTTTAAGGAATGTCTTCCATCAGATACAGTTTTCACACATCTGTGATGAGTTACTACCTCCTGCTTTAACACTACATGTTTCAATTTCTGAGCTCGGTGCCTGACAGCTCTCACACTTGCTTCATTTCTCTGAAGAAAGGGATGCAAACATGCCACATCTTTGTTTAGAGGCAAGTACTTTGTAATGGTCATGAAGAACTGTTTTGTGTCTTACACAGGTGTTTTAAGCTGATCAGATTTCAGCCTTGACAGTGTCCTTCTTGTTGGCTCCTATTTCAGTGTCATTGGAGGACAGTTGATTCAATGTGACACTGTAGTCATATTCCTTCAGAACATTATTGATTTACTTCCAAATGGTTCTATTGATGTTTGGGTCAGGAGTTGATATAAGCAACCACAGAGAGATGGCCATTTCTTACTTTAAGAAATGCTTGATTTTTTTATAATATTTGTTTTCTTTTGACATAACTAAAATGGAAGACCACAAGGTATCTTCTTGTCATCCAGAATTGTGTTTCTCATGATAAGAAGATCCAATTGCTTCATATCTTGATCAGTTGTTGTTTGATCATACAATAAGGTATATCTTGAATTATTTCTCTTTTAGGTCATCCACCAATTTTTTTAACAGGTGCGGTTATAGGCCACTGAAATGATATACAGCAAACTTGTTGACCACATTCCAAAAATTTTTGGAATGAGGCATTACTTCTCTGACTTTTGCTTCCAGGTTTGTTTGACTGGAGACATAGGTGATGTAAAAGCAGAGGGAACATCTTATGATGGTGTATTTTAATTGCAGCTTCTCTTTGCTGTTTACACTGTATTGCTTAAGATATAGAAAAGTCTAAGATTAATTTTGGTTAAGGCTTTCCAAAATAAATTTTAGACTTTTCTATATTTGTTGACCATTGGCTGCTGTTTTAACTGGGAAAGCCCAGAATTTTTAATTGAAAAAAATCTTCAACGTGTAAGGAGGCCTAGCAAGTTTAATTTCAGATATCCTAGTTTTATAGATACAGCCTATTATTAGTTCTACAAAATATATCATCTTAAGTACACAAGTTAAAGACATATAAATATTACTTAATGTAGCTTTCATGACTCATCACCTGGTGATAAAAAACTAAAGGGGTGCACAAAATCATCTCTCAGTTTTATGGAAATTGCAAAAGAGCATAATAAATAGTTAAAATGTACAACAAGATATTCAAGACTTATAATTTTGTGACATTGTGCATGTTTATTTTGAAGTATTGTTAAAGTAGTCAACTTTTTTATCAGTGTTCAAATAATTTCAAAATGAGGTTTTTGAACAAAATCTTTTCAAAATGAAAATGTGGTTTTAAATAGTTTCATAAAGAAAATCAAAATGAACTTGAAAACTCTTTTGCATACCCTTAACATAAGTTTACCCTTTCATTAGGATTTTACCTTAGTTTGAAATAACTGCATACATCTTTAGTTGGAATTTCAGCTGATCTGTTATCCTACAACAAGCCAACATATACTTTCTTCATGTTCTGCTTGCACCTTCTGACTTATGCCTGTATCTCTGGAATGTAAGCTTAAAAGTGCTTAATGATCTAAAAAAAAAAAAGATAAACCTTGAGAAAAATATTATTTTGCATTGAAAGGTGGTAATTACTCATAGTGTGAAACTGTCATAAGGAGCATTAACATATGAACAAGTACATGAGCTGTAGTTTAGTATATTGTTAACAAATGTTTGGTGAAAATACAGGGGAAAATGAATAATCATAAGGAATTTACAAGTAAAATCAGCTATTTTAAACTAAAACGTACAATTGTCTTGTTTTTCCTCAGTTCTGTAAAATATTGGGATTTTAGGATTGAGGGGAGGACTGTATAACTCAAAGTTGTGCGACTTCATCGTTCTGTTTTACACAATGTTTTTATTATATCACAATATTGGATAAATTTATTTTTATAGAAAGAAAATAAAAGTTAAGTTACTGTAAAAAAACCTACAGTGTATGTGATTTACACATGTAATGCACCAGTTTCTGCTCACTTTTGTTTTACACAACTTTATTGCTCAGAACATGCAAAACTTTAAGCTGAAAACTTCTGTCACAGAGGCTAGTTTAACAAAATCATGTCAAGAACATTCTTGTTTTGTCAATACTTTTCACATAAAACTTAGTATGTTTACATGCAGTTTCTTTGAAAAATATGTTTACTCTTTGTGGTTTTTGGATAATTCTGCTGGAAAGAAATTTAAATGAAACATGTATGAAGTAAGATTAAAGGTGAAAATAAAAAAACAAAAGAAAATCTGTCTAAACACAACTCCAGCATATAGGGACACAGTTTTAACACCTAAGTACTACAACACTCGGGAAGAAAAATAAAAATAAGAACAACTCGAAGGTAAGTTTAACAGCTAAAACACTACTTAAATTAAAGGTGTAGACCCCTACCTCTCCCTACAAAAACAATTACAAATGGCATCCAAATTTAAAACTCTTTCCATGTTCTCTACCTTTATGGAATTTCTGCAATGCAGGTTTTTCTTTAACAATTAGGTTGTTTAAGTTTGTATTAACTTCTTGTTTTTAAACTACTATTGAAATTAATCACCTACTGGGAACAATTGCTATGCTTATAGGAATTATTGCAGAACAAATATTTTGAGATGAAAAAACTGTTGGAACACAATTCTGAAAAAATGGTAACACCAGAAGGATGTTAATCTAGAAGGTCAGTTATTTAATTTTCGAGCCTAAGCTCTTCATCAGATGATGTTTACAGTCACTAATGAAAGTACGTTAGAATAATATGTAAACAATAACAATAATGTACACATGTACCTAACATGGAACATTGTAGGGCATGCTGTGAAAGCTTAACACATCGTTGTAGAAGAAGAAATAAAGCTATGTAAAAAATTTAAGAGATAGATAAATTCTAATTTTAAAATCAATACATACCAGATGCATAAATTTGAGTTAACTGTAGGGAAAGTTTTGAAATTTAAACTTTAAATGACACATTCTTATGATCTTTTTTTTTTTCATATATAATCTATAATAAATTAACCATACATGCAATATAAAGTACTGTAAAAATTTAAATTTTGATCACTGTCATTTTTTTCTAAATTAATCAATTTTCATTTACAAAATATAAATTGACAGAACCAAATTTGTTATATAAGGGTTTTATAACTCTTACATTTAAAAGTGTATGTCAAAGAAAATTCAAATTTTCAATGTTACACAAGGACACATGCATATGCCTAACTATACCTCTGAACATAGAGTATATCATAAATAAAAAGTAAACAAGGTAGATTATGGATAGAAAATGCAAAGAATGAATTAATTATTGTGGAGATGAAAATTCTTTATTTAGCCAGATGGAGAAAGGGGTCCCTAAGTGTAAATGAAGTGTTGTTCTTCACATTCATGCAGGCAGTGATTAATAGGTACAGCCTATTTTAAGATATGGCAATTCATGTTTGTCATCACAAAAGTGTTTTGGAACAGGAAGATCAAGATTTTGATTGATCATACAACTTCTATGTTCACAAAACCTACTGGCAATTTTGCAACCTGTCTCGCCAATGTACACTAGGTTATAAATATAACATTAATATAATACATTAGAGAAAAGCTGCTTGGATGGCAATTTCCATTTTAGTTGCAGTACTTTCTATACAATATATACACACATTTTAAATTAAGTATCTCACACTTGTACATCAAACCTATTTACTAGAATATACACAACTTTGAATACTATCGAGCACATTATGTAAATCATTTAATATAAGTCATGTACACCTACATGTACATATTGTAACAGACTGCCAAAAAGAAAATTTTCATGAAAAGTTTTAAAAGATCTATGTACTAAAGGTTTATGTCATTACAAGTTGTCAGTTCTGTATTTAACAAAAATATACATGAAGAATAAAATAACAGACTATGCATGTATGAAAATAACTTTTCACCTTGGCACTAATTTACTAAACCACAAGAATACAACACATGGGTCCAATATTTCAACTAGTCAGTTTGAATGTCACCTTCAAGGAATAGGGCTTCTTTCAAGATTTCTTATATGGCTTAAGTGAGCTATTTTCTATACAAAAACCCTCATCATATTTATGCAATCTGTTATAATTTCAAATTATACTGAAAACATTTAAGCTTAGTATTTTAAACAGTAAAAACTATTCATACATTATAGCAATCATTTCTATAAATTTATTAGACCTAAAATATTTCAGGTAACATCATAAATAAAAAATAATGATATGTACACAATGTTTCAAATTCTACTCTTAAAACTATTAAGCCATTTTAATAGTCTTCAAAATATTACCAATTAAATTAATTTTGTTCAGAACAAACATACATGATGTGTTTAACTTGACATAATTCTTTCTTTTTTATAGTTCTTAGTTTAAATATGGTTTTGCAGAAAGTCTACAAAATTACAAATAACTCATGAAAAAAGGTTAACGAGTTTCACAATTTTCTATCATGTAATTCAAACATAACTTGTGATATTTTAATGGAAACTTTGCAAGTCTTGTTTTCTTTCTGTCCAAACCTTCAGATTCAATTTAGGACAAAATGGCTATAATGCAGTTTAATGAGTACAGTTCAGAGAACTTGAGTGATCTATCAGAAAGTAAATATTATAAGGGCAACTGATGCAATTAGTGTGATGATATTTACCCATGTATACTCAAACTAAAGATCTCTTTCTCAAAAGTACGTTTTCAGCTAATGTGAGAATCTTTTTTTTTTCTTTCTAGACATAGATGCTTGAGTGAAATTTTGAATGTTTGTTTGTTTGTTTTTGAATTTCGCACAAAGCTATACAAGGGCTATCTGCGCTAGTCGTCCCTAATTTAGCAGTGTGAGACTAGAGGGAAGGCAGCTAGTCATCGCCACCCACTGCCAACTCTTGGGCTACTCTTTTACCAACAAATAGTGGGATTGACCGTCACATTATAACACCCCCACTGCTAAAAGGGCGAGCATGTTTTGATGGGACGGGGATTTGAATGCGCGACCCTCAGATTGCGAGTCGAGCACCCTAACCACCTGGCCATGCCGGGTCAAAATTTTGAATGACTAACAAAGAGTGAAACTACTACAAAGTAATAATGATACAAGTTCTAACAAAGAGTGAAACTACTACAAAGTAATAATGATACAAGTTCTAACAAAGAGTGAAACTACTACAAAGTAATAATGATACAAGTTCTAACAAAGAGTGAAACTACTACAAAGTAATAAATGATATAAGTTCTAAAAATTATTTCACTTTTGAAAATTCACACTTTTTAGAAATGTGGACATCTTATTCATAACAGAATAACTGTGAGACATTAAACTTAAATAACAGCACAAAAAACCTGGTAAATAATTCCATGTTAAAAATGAAGATTAATAAAATTATAATAATAATGCTAAACTTTACAATTCTCCAAATCTAAGTCCATAAAATGTTGAAAAATTATTATTAGTTCGATCCTAACAGATTTAAGAAGATTAAGAGAAACAAAAAAAAAGTTCACTGAAATACAGGATGACCATAGTGAATAACTGCTTTTAGCAATGACTAAGTGTGTTTAAAAATCTATGTTGGATAGCTACCTACATGGACAATCCATATGTTAATATTCAGTGTAAGAGTTTAATAACAGTAGTTTCAGACAACTTCAAACCTCTACAATGAATATTAAGATAAAATGATGCTATAATTAAGAATGATGTTGCAAACATAATCATATGGCTCAGTAAATTGCTTCCCAATAAGTTTTAGTTATATAGTTATTTTTAGTATGTACAATATAACAAATTGTATCTTTCACCTTCAACCTAGTACTAAAATACTCTTACTATATATTTCTCAACTTACTTATAAGTAATGACCAGATAGATGGTTACTTCAGGGACAAAAAAAAATAACGACATTAAGTTAATCTTTTTATGACATTAACTGAAGCTGTATTTGAAACTTCAACATCAATTTCACATTTTTAATGATATTTTTTATGTATTACAAGTGCAAAGGCATTTGGCAGGAAATACTGTTAATATCTTACAACAAAGAAAGCAATAAGTGTTTTAAGAACATAGTTTCTTTTGAGACTATTGATGTAAGCATAGTGTGGACATGGGAGTAGATTAGCAAGGTCTACCACATAAAACTTAACAAAAACATTCATAACCATAAATCTTCAGACACATACAGAATATTCAACTTGGATTAACTGCAATGATTCTCCTAGACTACAAAAGTATTACAAATGTACAACTTGTTTGGTCTCTACATAAATAATTTAGTGAAACTTTCAACAGCTATGTAAATGTTTTATTGTTTCACAGTATCTCTATTTCAATGGACTAGTGAAAAAGTTTCTTTCTACACTTTATATTTTACATTATGACACATATGTCAAACAAGCATATTTATCATGAGATCATAAACTTGGTCAATGAGGAAATCCTACCAAGATAAGAGAAAAATAACATTCAAAATCTTAACTGGTAAAATAATTTCAAATGTCATAATTTTCACTCATAAAGAATTATAATGAAATGCAAAAACAAGTTTAAAATAATGTTTTTTTTTTATCAACTTATAAAACTTTCAGCTATCATTAAGTATTAAAGTTACTGATAGTTTTCACTGGTAGATGTGTGCAATGCCATATTGAAACGGACTTGAATTACAAGAAAAGGGTTACATGAGAAATGAATATCACTATATCAATAATCAACCACAATATTTTTTTAATTACAAAAGGGAAAGGAGATACTGCATACTTTAATACAAAATAACACCTTATTTTTTAACTACGTAATTCTAATCACCATTATAAATACCATTTCCTTCATATAATTAGCACTTTAACAGAAATATGGCATTTAATCATAGCTAAACAGCCTAATTACTAAGTAAAAACATGAAATAATTATTAATCACTCAGAATACTGTCAGTTACTTCATGATTTTCATATACTGTTATCAGAGTTTATTTGTGGGTAACAGGCTGAAGTAACTTTTTTATAGTTTAATAAGTTAGTTACCCAAGCGGGAAAAAAAAGTAGTAGCCAAGAAAGTTAGAATAATAAATTTTTGTGAAGTGGACCAGTATTTTTACTAATGTTATTTCTTTAATGGAAACACTGTAATGTTATGAAAAACATTAAGCTGGACATTATCTTCATTTATCTCCCATTCTGTTTGATTAAATATCTTTCTTCAATTTGTGTCAAAAACAATAAGCTCAATCTAGTCACTGAAACTACTTGAAGTGTCACTGCTAGCATCAGAATTTTCTTCTTGATCAGCAGTTGGTGCTGGTGCATCAGGGTTACTGAAAAATAGATTAGAATGGTCATGAAAAAAGGTGCTAAAAAATTCCTACTAACTCATACATGACTTAATGGAAATAAATGTGATTAAGAACAATCACTTATGACAACTCTAAAGAACAAAACAAACTTTCTTAAAATGAATAAAGCAAATATGCATTTAACACTGACTGTTTTGTTAATAGAAAATGTGGCTAAAATACATTTCTATTTCAGTTAGTACAGTTAACAGATTGTATCTAAAATATTTATCATTCACTTAGCATTACCTTTTAAAACTAACTACTTGAGATCACTACCATGTTCAGTAATTGAAACTAATATTCTCATGGTAGCAGAAAAATAACCAAGAAATAATTTGAAAAATATCCTAGTTTGATCTCAACTAATCTGGAATAAGAATAAAAAATTCTTTTTAGATTGTTTATTGAGCTAGATAGCTACTACAGGGTATTAACAAAAGACAAATGTATTAAATAGACAAATCACACACATATATACCATACCTGATATAAAAATTAGTTTTTTAAATGAAACTAATGAATTTAGTCACCTTAAAAATTACATTCTGACATTTGAGAAAAAACATTAAAAGAAAATAATGGTATCACAATGAAAACACATTTTCAACCCAACCCAACTCCATGATCTTGTGTTGCATCAAATGTGCCACATGTGGACGTGCATTGTTGTGGATAAGAAGAACACATTTCCGATTGATGAGTGAAGGGCATTTCTGGTGAAGGGCTTGATTTAAATGTTCCAGTTTCTGACTATAGATCTCTGCATTGACAGTTTGCTGTGGATTGAGGAGTTCAAAATGAATTACTCCTTTGATGTCCCACCAAATGCAAAGCATCACTTTCTGCTGATGGAGTCCAGGTTTTGGTGTTGGAAGAGGCTGTTGTCAAGGGCTGAGCCATTGTTTTTGGTATTTAATATTCGCATAGAAAATCCATTTTTGATCACCAGTGACAATTCTGTCCAAAAATGATTCATGTGCCAGAAGAGACAAAGCAACATTCACACATTGGAAACGA